AAAATGAGAAGTTATAAAATTTGAGAATGACTGCAAAACTGTATTCTTCATCCATTCTGTTGTCTCACCATAGAACTTCTGCCTTCAAGCACCATGCTGACCATTGCCTTTATAACTAGATTATTCTGCTTACTTATATGGAGACACAGCTCTAGCATCATCTTCCTTTGCCACTGGAAGATTTTTCAGACACACACATTCACCCCATGTCCCAGTGCCTCAGTGAAAACATCACCAGGGCTCTAGCACTGTCATTACAGGCACTTTCTGTTCCCTCCCCATGAAAACTATGAGCCTCTTCAAAGGTTTATGTTTTTACGTGATGGACATAGACTTGAGTGCCTACTGTAAACCAGGCTTGTTCCACACACTTGAACACATAAATGAACAACAAAAAATTCCTGCCTTGTCATGCTAACATACTATGTATTTGCATGTGCATATAGAAATATATATACACACACAACATGCATGTATGTATATTATTACATATGTGGAAGAAATTTTTAAAAGGGAATGAGTGTAGCAGTCTGAATTATTTTAATCTTTCTTAAATTTGGAGAATCAAGTTATATTTCTTCCACAGATACAAATCATCCTGAAAGACATATTTATATGCCAAATCCAGCATTTTTCTAGTTCATGTTTAACCCCTAGATCTGTCTGTAGTGAAAAGACCCTATAGATGCACACCACTTTTCAGAATCTCAAAAGTCAAGGCAAAATGTGCTAAGAAATGTACATTAAAAACAAGCAAGATACTATTTATATAACTATGCTCTTTAATTTCCTTGATTTATCTAAAAGAAAAGTATAACCCTGTATCTGGCATATGTGACATTTATACCTGGTATAATATTTTTCTTTGGAAGGAGGATAAGCAACAATGTAACATGAGCTAATAAACTGAAATTTTCATGAATGAAGTCTAATTATGCACTCATTAGATGAAGAACTCAAACTGAAATCTGTATTACCAACTTTGCTGAAGAACTACTATTATTTGTCACATTTCACTTGAGCAAGCCTTCATACAGCTGACGTATGCTTGCCAGTGCTCTATTATACAGTGTAATTTAATTCTCTAGGACACAAAAACTCAATTCTCTTTCCTACTTACTGATACCTGATTCCACAGTGGGTTACTGTGCTTATATGGGCAAAATAGAGCATACCAGTTTCTCAACACATCTGAGCCTTTGCAGGGCATCAGGTAAGTTCTCTAGGAACAGAATCAATTGTGGAGAAATCTACAAAATATTCTCAAAGTTTGGTCTTAATAGAACCATTGTTTATTTTAGACAAATTCTTAATTTTCAAAAAAAATATATGGAAGGAGAGATTTTTAAGAATCAATAAAACATATTTCCTATTTTTACAAAAACACATTAATGGGTAACATTTGATTCTTAAAAAGCAACTTAATAATGTATAGATACAGTTAAATTAATTCTAATAACTAAACCTTTATATAATTCGCTTTAACTCATGTTAAAACATTAAAAATGCCTAGCGACTTGCTCTTTAATATGCATACAAATTAGACATATATGGGAACTTTGGAAAGTTTATGGAAAAATGAAACTGAAAGATATTTCTTTGCTCTTGGACTTTTTCAAGTACACTCCTATTTACCAGGTTCATCTGAACAAAGAAGTATTTCTACCAAATCTGAAACTTCATCTCTCTTTTGTGGGAATGAAATTAAACATTCTATGAGGCCTTTAAAATCATATTCCAAGATAAATTCCACAGAAGAAAAGAAAGCTCTAAAAAGGCATAGGCCATCATTATTCTATAATACAGTGGCTTGTTTTGTCTTTCTATTGAAAATTTCTATTGAAAATTTCTATTTTCTATTATGTAAAAATCTTAATGTCTGGTTTCTGTTCAGAAGTCAGAAGCCTGGCAAAACCACCTTAAATACTGGAATAGAATTCACGGCTCCTCTGGCAATGACTTGTCTGTCACAGACCTCAAATGTTGCACTCAAGTTACTTCATCTGCTTGTTCTCCTAAGTACTTCATGTCTCAAACCCTGCACAAGACCACATACTCCTTAAGAGTACCTGCATCCTGAATACTGATGACCTGGCTCCTTAGCCACTCAATAAATGAGGAAAGAGAGAGGAAACCACATAGGAAATCTTATCCGAGCTATCCTCAAGGACCTGATACAAAAAGAACTCTTATTACTACTTCCAAAACTTTGGCAAATTTAAAACTATTCTGAAATAAGCTGTTAAAAAAAGATAAGAACTCTTCCCTTTAAGCTTTCCCACAATAATCAGGCAAAGGTTCAGAAGAAACTTAATGGCTGAACAGTTAATTTATATCTCCCTTCCTACGCTATCATATCTAACGTTGATTGGTTTCTCCATGGGTGTTCACAGATCATTATCAGGTTTCTGGTGATAAAGGACTATCAAGTCACGGAAAACTTATTCTAAGACACACTCATGTGATGCTGGATCAATGTTCTGACAGTGTGCTTTAACTGCGTACACTCTTAGAACCAGCAGTATGGGTTCCTCCTAGGTTTTTTATACCCGTAGGAGGGAATTGCTTCAAAAGCAGCACCCCCTGGCCTGATGTGCCAAAAATGAGTTTCTCCTAACAGCAGATATGAATCCTGACCCGACAGGTGACATTAGAAATAAAACTACAGTATCTCATGAAAAAGTCTGTGTTTGCTATTCCCCTGCTGGGTTAAGCAACTGTGCCAGCAATGTGGTCTCTATCTTGATTTTTCATTATTGGACTAATGAGCCAACGGTCCACACCTGGAATCTTTTTTAAATGTATGAAAACACTGAAACATAACAGTAGGAATTCAGTAGTTTTTTTCCAAAAAACAGATAAAAAATTATAAATTATAAACACATTTTCATAATAATCCAAGCCAGATATTCACATTATTAAACTTAGTTCCTGCTCCTAGTTTATCATTGCAGTACAATTTATTCTGACATGGTAGGCTTTCATTTTAGATTTGATGTTATCTTCAATTCTAAAGTGAACAGAACTGTCATTAGACAATAAGATATTAAGACATTTGTGCCGTTCAAGTGTGACAAATCCAAATGAAGATTATTTACTTCCTGAATACAAAAATTCTTATTTTAAAATATAACTAAATCTGTCATTTATTTAAATTTTATTTTTAAATTATATCAATATACTAAATGTAGGGGACTGGGAGAATAATGAGAACTTGATTAAACATAATTTTGTAACAAGAATTCAAATAAAATTCTTTGGGTTGAATTAAGATGGTAACAATTTGGAGGCCAACGCTGTGGCGCAGTGGGTTAATGCCCTAGCCTGAAGCGCAGCCATCCCATATGGGCGCGGGTTTGAGACCTCACTGCTCCACTTCCGATCCAGCTCTCTGCTATGGCCTGGGAAAGCAGTGGAGGATGGCCCAAGTCCTTGGGCCCCTGCACCCACATGGGAAACCTGGAGGAAGCTCCTGGCTCTTGGCTTCGGATCGGCGGAGCACCGGCTGTTGCGGCCAGTTGGGGACTGAACCAATGGATGGAGGACCTCTCTCTCTGCCTCTCCTCTCTCTGCGTAATTCTGACTTTCAAATAAATAAATCTTAAAAAAAAAACACACAATTTGAAGTTTATTACAAAGATAATAGAATGATAAGCTTTTATTTATTAGTGCGCAGTAGCTTATTTTTCTCCACCTATCATTTTATTAAAAGGTATAAATGAGATCATTTAAAAATACATATAAAATCCATTTTAAAATTCTAAAATATTTTTTCAAGAATATTTAACTGGGCCAAAATTAAAATGCATCATATTTTACATATATTTATCAGAGGTTTTATATTCTTCTGATTTTACTAGATTAATATATTTTAAGGAATCAGATACTGGGAAATCCATATAGTAATTAATAATTGATACTTCCAATTATTTCATCAAGCCTCAAAAGTGTCATACTATTTTAGAAATCAGGTCTAGGCCCGATATTTGGCTTAGCTGCTGGGTTCTCCCACTCCAGATTCCAGCTTCCTGCTAATGCATACTCCTGGGAAGCAGCAGGTGACAGCTCAAGTAATTGGGTCCCTGTAACTCTTATGGGAGTTTTAGATGATAGAGTTCCTGGCTCCCAGCTCCATCCTGGCCCAGTCCCAGCAGTTGTAGGCATTTGGGGTGTGAACCAGTAGATGCAAGTCTGACTCTGACTCTCAAAAAAAAAAAAAAACTTACAAAAAAAAAAGTCACGGCTCTCTTCAAAAACACTCACTGTTGTTTCTAACTTAATAACAACTGTGCTAAAGAAAAATCCCATACCTCTTTTTTAAGTAGAAACTGTTATTAATTCCTACAAATTGATACTGCAAGCAACCTATATAGTTAAAGATATAATAACAATGAAAAGGAAGCACTATAAAAAATAAGCTCTTCTAGAAGACACCAAAAAACTTTGAGTTTTACAACTTTGATCATACTCAAGCAAATACAACAAACAGTGAAAACAGCTAACACAAAATACTTTCCATCTAACTGTAACAAATATAATCAATAACTATAAAATACATACCCCAAAATTTCACTAAATTCCTCTTAGGAGTATTTAAAATGAGTACATTCTACAAATTTGTGTAAGATATAAATTTACACATCCAGCACTTTCTAAACCATACAGCTATATGATTAAAAATCATTCAACAGCTTAAAAAATTCAATATCCAGGAAATCTTTTAAATATCTATTCCTAAAATTGAAGTAACATTCTAGCCATTTCCTTCTATAGATTACATAAAGTTCTCTTGAATTTAAAAAAGTTTTAACTCCATCTTACCTTCTGTATTCGATAAGAAGCTGATTATAATGATAAACCACAGACTTCGCATTCTGCAACCAGAAGACACCATTATTGATCCCTTTAAATATTTTCTTTGTATTCCTTAATGAATCTAGTTATAAATGCCCAGCTTCATCGAACCCAGCAGTCTGCATCATTGATCCTCATATCTGAAAAACAAACAAATCCATCATTTACTCTTTGGTCCTGCAATGTCACAAAAAATGCAAAAATAACAAGTCTGTCTCCCTCCCTCTATTCCTCCCCTGAGCACAAAATATAGAATATATTTTAATTCTATATCCAACACAGAGGCCGCTCCTATACCTACCTAAATGGTACTTTACATTCTAGAAGGTCAAAGCTCTAAAAGTACTTACTACAACATACAAATTTTAGAAAAACATGAAAATCTTACAAAGTTGTTCTAGAATTATACCTTTCTCTCCATAGCATGTTAACACTAGCTTTAGCACACAATACCTCTAAATAAAATGTTATAAATACATATACCTTTTTCATTTCCAGTGACAGTAATAGCAACATCATCTATTATTTTATCTAGTTGCCTTGAAAGATACATTGAGTCTTTTCCGCAATGAAACAATGAAGACTTTTCTACAAAGGTGTACTAGTCTAACCTATGAATATACTTTCATTTATGCAGCAACGGTATTCAAAAACGCCACCTTCCTCAACAACATATATTAAATTGTTACTTTTCTAACTGCTTGTTATACAGAGAGGGCAGTTTAATAAAGTGATGGTCTCATAACTATTTGACCTTTAAGTCTCAGATTTCATGTATTTTTTTCTTACAGCAGAGTATAACTTAAGATCAAACCTTCATTCATTCCTGAGTCCACTGGACACAAATAAAAATCCCTAGCCCCTAATAACTGTATCTATGAGGTCACAGCACTATTAAATCTAGGGGAGAGAGGCCAGCATTATGACACAGGTTAAGCCACTGCTTGGACACCTGCATTCCCTATCAGAGAGCTGGTTCAATACTGCACTTCCAATCCAGTTTCCTGCTAATGTGCCTGGGAGAGCATTAGATCATGGCCCAAGTACTTGGATCCCTGCCACCCACATGATGGTATTCCAGGCTCCTGGCTGCCGCCTGGCCCACCCTTAACTGCAGCAGACATTTGAGGAGCAAACCAGTAGATGGAAGCTCTCTGTCACTCTGCCTCTCAAGTAAACAAATACATCTTAAAAAAACAAAACAAAACAAAAAACAACTGAGGAGGGAATGGCAACAATTCAGAGCCTACAGTCAATGCTAATGTTGGCTAGATCATACAGATTGAATTCTCCACAGAGAAGAGGGAATGAACACTTCAGTACTATGACTTGAAGTGTTTCATGGTTCCCAGGATAACAGGACACGAGGTCATTTGCTGGGCGCTATCCAAGAGTTTTCCTTCTTTCCAGAGTAGTGTAAACACCTTATGATGAACACAAAGTGAGGCACTTCTCAAATCTACTTCCAGCTCTACAGCCCTTGAGGGTACGGAAATTACAAAGTTTTCCTTTGGTTGCCAGCACTGTGGTATAGTAGGTTAAGCATCCTCCTGCGGTGCCAGCATCCCATATGGCCGCGTCCCAGCTGCTCTACCTCTGATTCAGCTCCCAGCTCATGGCCTGGGAAAGAGGTGGAAGATGGCCCAACTACTTGGGCCAATGCACCTGGGTGGCAGACCCGCAAGAAGCTCCTGGCTCCTGGCTTCAGAACGGCCTAGCTCTGGCAGTTACAGCCATTTGGGGAGTGAACCAGCAGATGGAAGACCTCTCTCCCCCCGGCCCCATCTGTCTGTAACTCTGCTCCTCAAATAAATAACTCTTTTTTAAAAAGTTTTTCTTTAAAGGGACATTTTACAGTTCCCTCACGTGAGGTTCTTGTTATTTTCTTCTGAGTAACAATCTCGCCAACTTTGCTCAAGCCACACTTAACGAGTTACAACTAAAGAGTTTTATAAAGAGAGGGGACTGGCTACTACCCATTCTGAGTTATATATGAAACTTAAACAAACCCTTCATAATTTAGATGCTGTCACTAAAGCATAAAGAAAATTAAGAAAACAAAATTTTCCTAATAAGTTTGAGATCTCTTTCACATTATGTGAACTACTTTGCATTTGCTACACGCTTCATGTGTCATATGGGATTCTATTAGCAGCTCAGTTCACTATAATGTAATTTCAATAGAAAAGCCGTCAGCTACTAAATGGTTTGGAACAGTTATCACGCTCTAAGGGCACTATCTTGCCTTATCAACAAACACGCCGAAAAGAGTATAAAAAATTAACCTAAAGATACTATCTCATATTTAAATATAAGGGTCCATAAGACTCACAGACAAAACTAGCAAGGTATTTCTGTAATTAGCAGTCGGTTTGCTCATGCACATAGTTCTAGAGATATCCCTCCATGACTCGTCATCAGCGTTTAAGAATTATGATGGTTTTCTGCAATTCTGACAGCACTTCACAGGCTGCTCCATCCAAAGTAACAGAACAAAAATGAAAAGCAACCAGCTTCCTCTTTGGATTGCCAAAAACACAAAAAGAATGATACATCAAAAATTAATCTGATGGAACCACAAGGTATACATCCCTACAGAACTGGCTGACTTGCTCTGCTCATTTTTCACTCTGAGCTCCCAGACTGGGAGAGAGACAAAACCTGTTTACAAGTGCTGCGGCAATGTGCCTGCCTTACAATTCCTCAAGCTATTTTATATTAAACATAAAGAAAAGTCAGATAATTCCATGGCCTGTCACATGCATAAAGCCAATCAATGAAAAATTTCTTATATTCTGTCCAATGATCTAATCAAGAAATTAGAAACATTTTAAGGTGCAGATGAGGTTCATTAATTGCTGCAAGTAAAATTAAATCAGACTTTGGCCTGCGCCATATTCAAGGCAATACTTTTGACGGTCCAAGTGTTACTTGTAATGGGCACTTTGATTTCAATGAGCTAATGCCCACAGGCAGCTTGCCCACATGCACAACTCTTGAACACGTTTCCACTTTCTTAAAGCAATCCAAGATCCGTCTGTCTTTGGTCACCCGCTATTTGAAAGAGTCCTTGTTTGTGGGAAGAAAGGGAAGGAAGAAATCAAGGACTGATGACTGCCTTGTAGGAAACAGCAGCCAAGATAGGAAAACCTCTGTTGGTGAGGGGGAAAGGAGGAGGAAACCACACAACCAGGAACTCTACACTGCGGTCTTTGGCCAGGGCAGACTACTTCTTGAACAGCTTTACATACTAAAATTCACAGCATTCTTAGTGTTTGAGAATATAATACACAATTTAAAAACTGCACTCCAGTAGATTATAAGACAGTACAAACGACTGTTTCTGACACACAACAGATTCTGGAATGTATAAACCCAGGGCTTCTTGTATGCAAATAAAGCTTAACTCCAACCAGTGCTAAACTAAAAAATATCACTTTTATTTTTTATCATTCCACAATGTCTAACCAATCGCCTTCACCTCAAATAAAATTATCTCCAGAAGTTCAAACTTTTAAACTAAGGCAAAATATTTCACTGCTGTGATACAAATTAAAAACAATTCTTTATTTAACTGTCAATGAAAATTAAAATCCTTAGCAAACCACAACCAGCTAAGAATAGAATGAATAAATAATCAAATATAACGAAAATTCCAAGAAAGTGTTGCAAAAGCAGCTAGCACACCTGCAAAGAACAGCTCAGTGAGAGTGTCTCACTAAGCAAAACAAAAGCCAAGAACAGACCCACAAAAGGGCCACTACATAGCTTTTCAACAAACAGAAAATTAATAACCTATCTGTCTTCAGATTTTTGGAAAACCTTTTTTCAAGAATGCTTAGCATCAAGTGAGGGCAGAACTAGAGGTTAACAGCATGGTAACAGTTCATTGCTTAGAAAACAGAGAAGCAGCATATTTCTACTTAAACTACAAATGACTATGATTTTTAAAACTCCAAGCCATTATTCTACCTCTGCTGTTTTTCTTACCTTTCAAATACAATTCATCCCAATCTTGTTTCTAGAAACCTCAAGCCATTCTCTACCAAGCCTGCCACGGTTTTTTTTAGAACTAAGTATCCTATTACTCTGTCATGTAAAAAGTCAATTAATGCATCATTACTACCAACCTTCCAAAGCTTAACAGTGACTTCCAGGAATATGCTTCAGCGCTGCCTGTATCCTAACAGCCCTCAACGCTTTGTACACTACTTACACTGTACAGTCAGCTGTAACCTTTCAGAGAGTAACCTGCTTATATTTATTAGCTGCATTACATACCTCGTGCCTGAAACTGTCAGCAAAATTATTTAAAAGGAAAACACCACTAACCAGCTTTCAGTCACACATTTATGTTAAATACCAGGAAATCACAGTTAGCTTAATTATTAGATGTTTGTTTAGACAATAAAAAAAATAAATCTCTTTTGTTGATGTGCATCAATAAAAAATACAGCATGCTTTCAATAAATAAGAAAACTAAATTTAAAATTCTTTAAAACTAGTTAATTAAAGTGGGTATTCCACCAAAGTAAATCTACCATAAAGATTCATTTCTAAAGTCTTACATCTGATTTCTACTCCAGGACACGGATATCAAATCCAAAACAACTATAAGCCTGAAGAGAAAAGAGAACCAAGCGCAAGATCTACCAAAGTCATCCACCCTTGTTACCGTGCAAGAAAGCTGCACAACATGAAGCTCTGCGTACGCCTGATTTTATGTGCTAAATGTGTATCTCCTCTAAATAAGAACTAAAGATAGCTTCATAAAATCTGTATTTCTGATCTTATTTGCACAATAAAAATATGATCATTAAGATACAGAATGCCCTTGTCAAAGGAAAGTGCTTTTCTCTATTTTACCAAAACAAAGACAGACCTAACATCAGTCTGCTCCCATGCAAATGCTAAGAAAATTAAAAAATAAATTACAATTTAATTTTAACTTAGCTGAAATTCTCAGTAGTCACGTTTCAGACATATTTTCTGTGTGATCCTTGTACAGGCTAGAATTTCCACTTCTTGTTAACACTTCCAGAAAACACCATGGCCCCTGGCAAGCCTTCCTTCAGTAACTGAGCTTAGGTAAAACCTGGCTATTGTTAATCAGAAAGGCTTTCTTAGGATAGGGGCTGGGGCTGACAATGCTGAGGGTGATTCTAAAACCACATGGTCAACCATTAATCCCCACCCTCTCAGATCTCAGTTCTGCAGACACTGGTGTCAAGTCTAGAGGACTCTGACTCAACTATGCTAAAGTCCCCTTACCATTCCCTACCTGGTCTTACCCTTTACTGAAACTTCTTTGTCGTGAAAGAATAAATTCTCCTATGAGAAGGCTTAAAGGAGCAGAAAGAAGAGTTCAGGAAAGCTCCTAGTGAATTACATCTGCTTTGTGCTGTATGACCCAGGAGCCATGCTGAGCATGCACAAGCAGCTTGTAGAAGCAGACACCAGAGGCAGTGTCCGGAGCAGCCTGCCACTCTTCTGTAAAATACATCCAGTTGAAATAGTACAAAAAAAAAGCTGTCATTTTCTCTTCAAAATTCTCATTTGCTTATTTTTATTTGAAAGAGGGAGAGAGAAAGATGAGACCCCTATCTGCTGGCTCACCCCTCAAATACCTGTAATAGCAGGGGCTGTGCAAGGCCAAAGTCATGAAACAGAAACTCAATCTGGGTTTCCCACATGGGTGGGAGGGACCCAAGTATTTGAGCCATCTCCTGCTGCCTCCCAGGGTGCATGTAACCAGAAAGAATTGAAATCAGAGCTTCACGGGAACCTGGGTACAGCAATATGAGATACGGGCACCCAAGCAAAGTCTATGCCAAATGTCTGCCCCACCTGGCATTGTTAAGCCAATGTAAGGGACATTTTATGACTGAACATGAACTTGCAAATGATCTTTCAGAAGAAAAGTAAACAAAGCTACATACCCAGTTCAAAATATTCCCTTACATATCATGAAAAGTTGATGCCTTCCCCAACTTTAATACTAAAAATATTATCCCTCGTTTTAAGACTGTATCGTCTCTTAACTATCTAGTAGTCTAGAAATTAAAAGCAGAAGACCAGTATTAAAGGGGCCAGCACTGTGATGCAATGGGTTAAAGCCGTGGCCTGCAGCGCTGGCATCCCATATGGGTGCCGGTTCGAGTCCCAGCTGTTCCCCTTCTAATCCAGCTCTCTGCTAGTGAGAAAAGCAGTGGAAGATGACCCAAGTGCTTGGGACTCTGCTACCCACTTGGGAGACATGGAAGAAATTCCTGGCTTCAGTCTGGCCCAACTCCTATCATTGTGGCCATTTGGAGAGTGAACCAGGGGATAGAAGATCGATCTATCTCTCTCCTCACTCTTCATCTATCTCTCTAACTCTTTTAAATAAATGAATCTTAAAAAAAATTAGAAATCTGAGGCTGAGAGAGGAACCAGAAGTAGATTAAAATTATTCATACAGTTAAGAGGCAGAGATTCCAATTAAGGCTAATGATAAAGTCCTGTCTTCATTATTCATCAAATTATTAACGTCAACAACTATTTACTGAGCAGCTATTATGTGCAATGTACTGAAGAACAAATGCCTTGTCTTCAAGGAAACTATATTCTAGCTCAAAGATAATTTATCCTAGAAAATTCTATAGTTGCTTGCCATGTAGTTAGGTTCCCAAAATATTATAGCTAAAGTACAGTGACAAACTAAATATTTATTATTTTAAGTAACTGTAACCACAATCCTGAAAAATCTACAATATCTCCTTTTTACCTTAAAATGAGAAAATTTAACCTATTCAAGAACATAACCACATGTTCTAAAATCACTAAAGCAACTAAGTAAATCAAATATAAACTTACTTTTAAATTATCTTTTCCTTTAGAATAAAAAAATAGAATGAAGTCATTTTGGCATTATGAAAATGATGAAATAATCAAAGAATAATGAGTTGATTTTCAAAATGTTTACATGAGCAAAACTAACACCCTTAGGTAATCATAAATTTAACTTATTTTGTATTTCCAGTTGAGTTATCTTAATCTTAATCATTTATATGCTATTTAAAGTGCTTACAATTTTGTTATCAATTAAGAAATTATTCTAGACTGATAAATCTTGTCAACCAAACTACCTGAGAAGTCGCTCATAACAAGTCAGAAAAAAACACGTGAATATTTCTTCCAATATAACTAAGAATGAATCTTAATACTCAAGGAACGGGTACTCTAAAGTTAAGATCTTTCAACTAAGTATTAACTGTGTTTAGACAAATACAGAAGAAAAATTCAAAACAGCTTGTAAAATGCAATTGTACAAATGGCTTAACTGCACTGAATCCTTTGTTCATAAATCATTGTTACTAGCCATTCCTTGAATCAATATTCAAATTCCCTCTTGGTCTATATATAAACCACTAAATGAAATAATAATGAACCAAGATCTGCTGTATATTAGATCATCAATATCACTATCAGAGGGTTCTTAGAGATAATGAGGTAATCTGAGTAAAATATGTCAAGTGATATGAAAAATAAAAATGAAAAAGTAACCATAAAAATACACAGTAAGAAGTTGAAGAAAACTTTGTGAAATTTACAAAGTTCCCTTTTGTAATCAACAAACAATACAATTCATTTATAAATTGTATCTATATATATAATCAACCTATAAATAGTTACATGTATAAAGCTATCTAACTTTCATTTCTTATACTTTAAAGTGAAGTTGGGCTGGGCTCTCGGCATAGCAGGGTTTTCTGGTTTTGTTTTTTTACTTTTTTGGGCATAGCCGTTAACACACCATTAGGGAGGTACACATTCCGTAACACAGTGCTAGGTTCCAGTCCCAGCATGACTCCTCATTCAAGCTTCTTACCAGTTACACCCTGGGAGGCAGCAGGTGATGGCTCAAGCAGTAAGGTCCCTGCCACCTCTGTGGGAGACCCAGGTTGAGTTCCCACTCAAGTCTCCAGTTCCTAGCTTTGGCCTGGCCCAGCCCTAGCTGTGCCAGCATCTGTGCAGTAAAGCAACAAATAAACAGGCATCTCGGCCTGTCTGTATTTCTCCCACTCCCTCCATCCTTGTCTTTCAAGTAAATGGTAAATCCTTTAAAAAGGAGACTACATTAGCACTATAACTGCACAAGAACCAATTCAAGTCAAAGAATGTCTAGAATACCTCCTAGATAGTTTTAATACTGGGTACTGAAATAAATGTAATCTACTCATTTTTTTCACTTTACATATTAAATGGTACTCGGTTAGGTTCCAAAGGGATTATCAAAAAGGTTAAGATATGACTGCTATCCTCAAAAAGTTAATAACCTTATTTTTTTAAATAAATTCAAGTTATTTTATGCACAAAGAGCTAGTATGATTTTCTACAGCGCCGATGTCTTGTAGAATCCATTCAAGGAGAATGACTTAGCCCAGCTTAATGAAGCCCATATCCTTCTCGTACTGATGGAAACAATGGCAGCACATGTTAGGCCCGTATTTCCGGGTCAGACCGTGTGGGTATGAACAGACGGCAAGAATGGAAGCCTGGCAGAATTTTCGCAGGTGGCTCCAGTAGAGCTGCTGGTGGTGACCCATCTTGCTTTCAGGAGTGCAATGAGGCAAAAGACGTTACTAATCTTTTAGGCAGAAATAAAGTAGAAAATGACCAATATCCAAAATAGGCATTAAAGAGTGACTAACAAACTTCTGAAAACATAAATGTATTTCATATTGAAATAATAAGAGGAGAAGTTTCCTTGAGGCATGTACCTTGCTCAACTTAAGTCAAACTAATGAAAAACAAGAGTTCAAGACATTTATTAACAGTACACTCTACATTCTGAGTTGCCCTGCCACTCACTGTGAGGCCTGGGACAATTCACAAGATGTCAAGTTCAGCAACCACATAGAAGGTTACAAGTCGATGATAAATCCACAGTCACTTCCCAATTACAGATCAATGATCCTGACCCAATCATAGGAAAGGTATTTAGGTGCTTCTGCAATACCTTCAACTAAGTCTGTCTCTTATCAAAATATTTCAGCAATTATTGCTAATTCACATTTTTAAAAATTACATCTAAAGAAGCAGCTTCAGAAAACCATCTTTGAAACCTACTTACAGACCACTATATCAGCCGCTATAATATAATAATCTGAGACTTAGCTCACATATTTCCCATTCTGTCTTCCTACAGATGATCAAAAGTCAAAATGACATCAGAGACTTCTTTAAGAAAAGAGCAAGTTCCTAGGCCTTAGCTGGGGTTAGTACCCATTAATGTCATGTCCCATAGCATTTGTATCTTTGTGTCTACAAGTAAAACTCAAACTAAAGGGATTTTTTTGAGTTATAGCACAGATGGATGTAAAATTATTTTTCAATTAATTAATAACAATAAAGTCATAGTCTTAGTGAATGAAGGCAATCAATTTCTTTGGATTCCAGTGAAGGGCTAAGATTCTGTGTGGTCAGGGGTGGCTGATTCCTCCAAAGAACACTAAGGTATTTAGATAAGCAGATGACACAGATGTTCATAGACACAAATATTAAACAGTAAACACTGAGTCATTTTGAATAACTGCTAAATATTGAAAAATCAAGAACAAAAATTAAAACCTTAGTTTGATTAAAAAATTAAACACATGAACTTCTATGTGTTTGTGCTTCTTAACTACTCAATTGTGGAGAAGGGGAGGTAAGTGGTTTTTTAGAAAAGGAGTTTTTTAACTTTAAAATAAGATTTTAGGGGCAGGTGTTTGGTCTAGCTATTAAGACACTGCATCCCATATCAGAGTGCCTGGACTCAATACTCACCTCCTGACTCCATTTTCCTGCTAATGCAACTTCTGGGAGACAGCAGTGATGGCTTAACTAAATGGGTCCCTGCCACTCAAGAGGGAGACCTGGACTGAGCTCCCAGCTTTGGCCTTTGCCCCAACCCCAAGGTGTCACAGGAATTCAGGTAGTAAACCATCAGATGGAAATTCTCTATTTACCTCTCAAACAAACAAATAAAAACTTAAGTTTATATAAATTTATAACCTCTTACAATTTCAGTAACACTAAATTAGTAATAGTGTGATGCTTAATAAAAAGAAACATGCTTTATAGAAAGCTAAGAAAAACTGACAAGAATGCTAAACCACCTGCCACCTTCCTTCTTTAAGACTTGTATATATTTTTAATATTTTAATAATTTTTAAATGTTTTAATTCAGAGGCCTGCATTGCAGTGTAGCAGGTTAAGCTACCACCTGTAATGCCAGCATCCCATATTGGCATCAGTTAGTACTGGCTGCTCCACTTCCAACCCAGCTCTCTGCTAATACTCCTGGGAAAGCAAGAGAAAATGGCCCAAATGCCTGGGCCCTGTACCCACATGGGAGACAAATGAAGCTCCTGAATCCTGGCTTCCTCCCTGCCCAGTCCTACCGGTAGCAGCCATTTGGGGAGTGAACCAGTGGATGGAGTGTCTCTCTCTCTGTCTCTTCCTTTCTGTAACTTCACCTTTCAAATAAAGAAATAAATCTTTTTTAAAAAATTAATGTTTTAATTAAAAAAGACAACATTTATCGCTGTTACTCCGCATAAAAAAAAAGCAAAGAAACTGCTTAACAACTACCCATAGCAATAACTAGTGAGTCTTCAAACTTAAGTTTAAAGTTTTCAATTACATTCCACTACATTTGGAAAGACTAGAACCAACCAATCATGTAGCCTGATGCTAAAGATGTCAGAGTAGGGGTCAGGAAACTTTTTCTATAAAGACAAGAGATAATAAATATTTTATGCTGTAAGGTTCACAGTCTCCATCTCCAAACGGCAGGGATACCACTGAGACAAGGCATAAATGAATCACCCTGTTGTATGCCAATAAAACTTCACTGACTAAATAGCTACCTGGTCATAGCATGGTATCCTTTGTTACAGAAGTACAAGCACAAGACCGAGATAACTGGAAACAGTTCACACAAGCAATGAATTAATAACCATCAATGTTTGCCAAAATAACCAAACTCAATCTATTATTTAAAAAAAAAAAACTTAAATGCTAACGTAAAGTAAAACCATGTTGGAAAGGCAAAAATAAAGTCACATTATACCGACCAAAACAAGTTAGTATTTCAGGGTGTGTACGTAGAGCTTACAGTGTTGGGGGAGAAATTCCAGAAAGAAAAACAAGGAACACCACCACAGTAACTTATCTTACTCCTCTGTTTGGCATGACAGAATATAAAACCAATCAAAACAGTAAGTAATGGGAGATGGAAAAGTAATGAGGTTTGGACAAGACCCCAGAGGTATTCCACCATTGCTGTGATGGTTTCAAATAGCTATTGGTCAGGGTAGCTTCAAACTCCTGAAATTTCTGTCACCACTGCCACTCACCCACATGAAATACTGGATATGTCCCAGGTCCACAACAACTCAACGGGAAACTACTATAATTCTAATTTGCAGTTTTTCTTCTACAGAGTTTTATAAAGTTAAAAGCTACAAGGCCAAAGTCAGCAACCTTATCTCAAGAATTATGATGCTGCAATCAACACACTTATTTCCTATAGAAGGAAGTATCTCTATATCCAAACACACCTCAGTGAAAAGCCTTGTTACTCTGAAAGTAAATATTTTTATTTTCTGCAAATTTAATGCTTCTTAAAATTTAACTTAAACTGTAACATATCACTCATAACATTTTAAGCTACAATTAATAAGTATCACATTAAAATATATGAAAGCTAAACTATATATATATATAAGACAAAAGAGTGGAGAGGGTTACAAATTTTTAATAAGAGCATTATATTATGGTAGTAATAATCTAGGTGTTTTACTGGAAGTGAAGTGGATTACAGTAAATGAAATTTTAAAATGTCCTTTCCATTTTACAGATAACACAAAATGACTTTTTTCATGTCTCTAGCGATAAGGATAAATTTGCCACACATTTAAATGGTGCCTTCACCCTTCCCACCCTGGCTCATGAATTAATAATTCAGTGACATTAATACAAGAAGATAAATGATAAAAAGGTTAAGGCGCAAGGGCCAACCATACACACATACTTCTTTTAGCTCAGTTAATACTTCCCTGCCAATTATAACTAAAACTTTCTAACAGTTTTCAATAGCATTTTTACAATCTAAGTAGCAGCTTATGCACACACAATTTCACACAATTCGGGCTTAATATATCTCCTGCTGGTACCAAACAATCATTCTAGGGGATTAAAGTGCAACATCTGTTAACATTAATAGTGTTTTATATACTCACATGTGTTAAAGAAGCCTCCACTCCATTATTAGTCTCCTAAAATACCTTCTAGACCAATATACCGATTTAGCATAAATTACACATATATCCTCCATCGCTAACTTAGGATAACAAAGAAATATTGTAGTGTGAAATGGTCAAAGAGGAAAATTCTATCAACTATGAAGTAACACATTTTCTTTGAACCAAGTCAACTGAATGTAAATGTATGTGCATACACGGATATGTAACTCATACACACATGACACTGGTCTAGTCTCGAATGGCTTTTTGAATCAAAAATCCTCTTGAGCATTTTTCTCTTAAATGTGGGTACCATACAGCTTTTCGTACAAAAGGCCCTTCATTTCAGGGTATTGTGTTCACATCCTCTGTTGTACCGATTCTCGCTCTGAAACAGCTCGGTCCCCTTCCCTATCCCTTCATTCCCTCTGCCCTAACTCCTTCTCTCTGAACTCTGCCCAGAACGTCACAGCTGCTTTCTCACCTTCCATCCAGCATGCCAACTTCTGTGAGATTCACCTTCCTAATTTCACCCCAAATCACAGAAACGTGTATAACCAGGACCAATCCTAGAAATCATTTCATATACGAGGCAAAGCAAACACCTGGGGATGTGAGTTGACAAAGGCAAATCTCAGAACTGCTGTTTCTTAAATTTTCCTGTGTGTACATATATTACTATTTCACTGTAATTTACCACAACAAATCTATCACCTCTATTTTAACCATGGAAAATTGAAACTGGGGGCCAAGGTTGGGGGAATGGTAACTGAAAGATGTTCTTTAAAGAGAAGGAAAAAAAGACACCAGAAGTAGAATTCAAACAGATCTCACACCAAAAATACTCTACCTTAACCCTCTGCTTCTGTTGAACTTCTCTGCTCAGTAATTGTAAATATGCCTTTCAAACTTTTACTCAAAATGCTTTAGCCACGAATAAAGCATTTCTGTCCTTCAAACTTAGCGAATTCTACAGACCTGACACGCTTTTAAGAACCACCTGTGACCAAGCAGACTGCCTCAAATCGAACACTTCTCCCTGCCCCCCAGCCCCAGCCCCAGGTTCCTACAGCCATTATCCACGCCACGTGTGGCGTAGTTCTTAATGGATTGTTTTGTTCTTTCTAAATACGTTTTTATTTATTTGAAGGGGAGAGTGAGAGAGAAAGAGGGATACAGATTAGACATCTTGCCTCCACTAATTCACTCCCCAAATGGCCACTGTCTGAGTCCCCCACACGGGTGACAGGGAACCAACTAAGTACAAGTAGTTGGTTCATCTTCCACTGCTCTTCCAGGCACATTAGCAAAGAGCTGGACTGGAAGCAGGGCAGCTGGGACTTGAGGGATGCTGAGCTGGCACTGTAGGCAGCGGCTTAGCTCCCTGGGCCGTAACACCAGCCCCTTGTGGGTGGTTTTGTGACTCTTTCTCAATCAAGATCTTAAAACTAGTTTTCAGATCTCTTTTGTTGACATTTTTACTGTTTACCTTTCTTTAATAGAACTGTCTTCAAACCAAGCCAAAAACAATTCCTGGAAACTTTGTTCAAGGCACCAAAGATAGTATACTGCAAGCCTTACAACAACATAGAAGAAAAGGATATGAGACAAAAGTGCAAAGAACAAATTATTTTAATGAAATAAAGAGAGTAAGTGCTCCTTATGGACCAAGGCTATTGCTCAAGCCTTTAATCTTGATTTTGGTGAGCAGTGTTATAGCCTACTGATCAGCAGACTGAATGTGGAGTAAACTAATCAGCTTTCTGGAAAATACTAAAATTTGCAGTGGATTTCTTTTTTGGCTAATATACCTAAACATATTCTGACACTTCACTAAAATTACTATTATTTATTGATTTCCTGGTTTTCCTTCTTTAATTTTTATGACAATTCGATTTCATGTTCTTGGGCCAGGGAAGACTTACTCTCACCCCGGAATCGTTCTTGTCGTAGCAGTCCTTTCTGCCTGGAATCCCACCTGCCACTTGTCCTTTCGCCAGTGTATCCCTTTCCTAAGACTCAGTTCATCTATCACTTGATGCTCTAACTGGCTCCTACTCTAAATCCTAACCTACACCATGGGAACGGTGTCGTTACTGTCCACAGTGCACTGTGCTCACCACTATCACAAAGTATCTGAAGTACAATTTTCATAAGAAAATGAGGTAACTGGACAGAGTACTCTTGGCTTTCACATCTACACCTTCCAGGAGTGTCACCCACCCTTCAGGACGGAAGGAAAAGAGGAAGAGGGAGGTTGGAAAGGAAAGAGGGAGGCAGGAAGCAATGACCTGGATAATGCATTGGAAGGATACATTAGAGAAGTAAGTGGAGTTCGGAACCTTGAGTATGAAATATAAATCAACTGGAAACAGAGATCTCCTAGTAATAGGGATGGTCAAGCATTTTTTTCAAAGCAGGCCTATTTTTAAATTAAATAATTAACTGAGAGCGGACGTTTGGCCTAGCAGTTAGGATGCTGGTTGGGATAGAGCCATCCTACATTGCAGTCCTTGGGTTCCATGTCCCACCCACCCTGTCTCCTGATTCCAGCAGCTAACACAGACCCTGGAAGGCATTCGTGATGGCTCCCATAACTAGACTCCTGCCATCCACCTGGGAGACTTGGATTGAGCTCCAGGCTCCTAATTTCAACTTGGCTGGTTGTAGGTATCTGAGGAATGAGCCGGCAGATGAGCGCTCTCTGTCTCACTGACTCCCAAATTTAAAAACAATAATAAACTTAAATATTGAGGCATATCAATTTGTAAGACAGTGCAAACACAAATGAGTATTTTTTTTTCAGGAAATTTATCACTATTTACAGAAAGTATCTAGTCATTTTCATCATTTACAAAAGTCAAACAAACCCTGAAGACAGCGTTTTTAAAACCACTGAGCTGGGCCCAGCATTATGGTGGAGCAGGTTAAGACTTGGCTTGTGATGTCGGCATCTCATATCAGAGTATTGGTTTGAGTGCCAGCTACTCAGTTGCCAGTCTAGCTCCTTGCTAATGTGCATGGACCCAGGTGGAGTTTCAGGCTCCTGGTTTCGTCCTGGCCCAGCAGTGGCTGTTGTGATCATTTGGGGAGTA